CTGTATTGAAAAATCCATTCCAAGGGGGCGGGGGGGCGGGGGGGTCTGTATTGAGAAATCAATTCGAGCGGGGGGGGGGGGGGGGGGGGGTTTGAATTGAGTGATCAATTGTTAGACCCGGACGTCCCAACACTTGCTTCGCAAGACAAACTCAAGGTATCCCCTAAAGGGCTACCTTTCGTGACATCCACATAACATCCACCAACCTTCCCTCCCAATTCGGTGCCCGGAAACCCCGTCCTGGGCCCACTGCGCAAAGCGATCCTCATAGACTCGCACCACCACATAGGTGGTGAAGGTGCCCCTCCCATCAGGCCGTACGAGGACCATGAACTCCTGGGACCTGCCCAGACCACCCCGACGCGGACGCGGACGCGGAGCCGGCCCGAGCTCCGCCCCGGCGCTTGGTCGATGGGGTCGTGCGAGGGGGGAACGCCCCGTTCCTTGGATCCACGCGCCACGTCTCCCCGCACCTGTCGTCACCATCCTCTTCCTTCCAGAAGGCGCAGCCGCTGTCGCCGGCCTTGGGATAGTTCCGGCGTACCTCTTGGTGCCATGCCACTGGCTCAGCATCACGGAAGAAGTAGTTCATCACCTGTCCATTAAACGGGATGTTCCAGATCCCACTGGTGTTGAATGGATTTTTAATCTAACGTACCGTAACCATTCAATGCCATTCATATGCCATTCAGATATTGGATTGGTCAAACTCCCAACTGATCATGCTTGGGATGTGGACCACCTCCGCGGGAGAAAAAGAACATTACAAAAAAGAGAACGTCACCGCAACAACGTCGCCGGAATACCCCCCCTTGCGGCCGAAACGGCCGAAACCATCCCGGCTCCCTCCCTCCCTCTAGCGGCGTCGGCCTGGCCGGCCATGTCCCCGAAGAGCACCGAGCAGAGCCTCAGGATTCTTGCTACTAGTGACTAGTGGTTCTTGCTCCTAGAAATGCCGGCGCCCCGTTCGTAGCGTCCTTGCTAGTAGCGATGCCCGAAAATGGGTAACGCCCTTCGCTTGTTCCAAGCCGCCTCACGATGCTCCAAGAGCTCGTGGCCTCCACGACCGCCTCGCCCGGCGCCACGAAGTCCACCGAGCGCACACTGATGCCTCGTGGAGAGAGGAAGACAACAGCGAAAACGACGGCGAAAACGACGCTTTCCGCAGCGCAGCGGCGGAAGTCAAGGGGGGTGAGCTCCAGATCCCTACAGTTTTGGGGGTCTTGGGAGCTTTGAATGTGGGGTTGCTCGGAGTTGGTGCAAGACTTGGAGGGTTTGGGTGAGCTTTCACTCTTCCGTCATCAAACGAATCCAGGTCAAGGCTGGTGATGTTCTTTGACTGTTTATGATTCTTTAGATGTCCGGATGTCTGAATGATGTTAATGGGCATTAGGTTGCAATAGAATAATACCACCACATCAAACCAAGAAGGTCTGCATCACATTGCACTGCGCGTGCCACTCGGCGGTGCGTTTTCCAACTCCATCCAACTCCTGAAGATTGACCATCTTCCCACTTTTCCCAGATCTGGCGCCATTTTGAAGAAAGCACCTCCTCCACCTTTGTCTCCACCTTCGTTCCCAATGTGTTGAGAGTCACCACCCACGCCACGACATGTGTTCACCTCCCAAGCCACCCTGGATGGGGCACTGATCCGGTTGCAGCGATCGGACCTCGGGCCGCACCATGACGTTCGCCGTCTCCTCCGGCGCGTGGTGGATGGCGATCTCCTGCGCGGAGATCGGCGTTGGAATGCGGCGGGACACCGATGTGCTCGCGAGAAGAAAGACCCACAGGCTTCAAGATTGTTATCTATGTGGACAATCGAGGTGGAATGGCAAGTCAGAACCTTGGTTTATGTCACAAATGGTTCAGCAATACTGTGAGCACCTCACTGATCTTAGTTTGGACAGTATGCAAGGCAGTTGTGCAGTTCTTCGTGTCTAATTATGTATTGTCTGTCTATTCTCACCAAGCACAACCCTGTGACCAATGTCACTTCCCCTTTCTGGTTCCTCAGTTTCCCTCTGCACATGGCATCTATCACGTAGGTTTAGGGCCAACGGCCGGAAGCGCCAACGAGCGGAACCCTTTTCGCCTTCAGCTCGAACTTGATGAGGTGACCCCCCCAGGGGCAGCTGGTGTTCATCAAGGCAGCCTCTGAGGTGACCATGGCACTGTTCCAACCGTTCTCCTGGAGCGAGAGCAACCTCTACCAACGCGAACCCAATAGTAGCTTGTCTCAACACATGCATGAGTAGACCATGAGTAGACCCTGAGAGAGATTCAACAGAGTGACCATTGCGGCTGCCCCTTTGGGGCAACCAAACAAGACCTTGGCTCCTTGCTACTTGGATCTTCCACACTCTGCATGGCAATAGCACTGGTGGCGTCTGCCCAAAAACTAGACCAGCTCAAATACATCTGCTCTCACTCACCGTCTCAATACATCGGAACACTCCTCCAACAAGTTGGGCATCAACTGGCACCAGTCATCCACCGATTCAGGTCGCAAGGCCATGGTTTCACGGGCTGGTCTGTTACGCACGCGTCTGGTGCTGCCTGGATACACCTTCAGGTCGTCCAGCGGTTCTGGTTTGAGCCAGGAAAGAACCGTTCAAAGTTGAAAAGAGAGGTCCTCAACTCCATCAACCATCGCTGGTCAATTGATCTTATTGGGATCCCCTCTTTCAGTTCAACATCCAGGTCCTCTTCTAAGGAACTGTCCACCATGGCCCAACTATGCGGTCGATGGGATGTTTCGTAGGCCGCCAAACTTCACTCCCTTTCATTTCCACCATCTGGAGGCCCAGTCACTATGCGAAGGAGCTCTCCGAAGGCATCGAAGGCTGAGAGTGGGAGTTCTGCCAGGCGATTCCTCGCAAGATCCAAGTCCTGCCCGGACACAGGTTACACAGAGGCTCTGCAAAGCTAGGGGCCGAATCCAAAACATACGCGGTGTTGAGAGTCGATACAGAGAGAGAGAGAGAGAGAGCGAGATATATATATATATACAGTGTGTAGACATGTGTATATATATATCATGCATGCATACTGTATCTGTATATCCTCTGGGTCTCAGCTTGAGTGCGCCATAACTTGATATCTCCACCCGCCGAACCAGGGGCCTTGAGCGAAGTCAAGTTCACAAAGCCCTCTGAAACATCGCTAAGGTTCGAGGACTGCCTTGGAGGGAGTCCGAGACAAGGAGTCTTGCGTGTGTAAGCCAGGAGAATGCGGGGAGATGCTTGTATGTTCCGGGGATCGATCAGAATCATTGACCATCTGGCTACTTCAAGCTGTTTATCATTGTTCATCTATCGATCTACTAGCACCCTCGACTTCAAAACTCTTCACTGTTCAAAGCCCCCTCCCCCAACAAAAAGAAGAGAAAGGTAAGCTCCTTGCCCTCCAACTCCCTCAAACTACCAGGCAACATCCGCAAGGACCACATCTTCCCATTCTGGGCGAAGGCCGAGGGTGGAAGAGATCCCAAGAGGTTGAAGGAGAGGTTCAGCACTTGCAGCGATGCAGGGAACCTCCGTCCGTGCCAGAACGACTCGACGTCTACGACGACGCGCGTGCCGACGCCGGTCACGCAGTCGGGGCGGGTGACGGGACGCCTCTCTCCCAGAATTTGGTGGGAAGGGACTTCTCAATGGCTGTGGGTCATGGCACCCGGATCTCTAATATACCTTGACTTGGTTGACCTACCAGCGATCGGTCGCGCGCTACATTGGCAGACTGGTCGGGCGAACGTCGGTGCCATGAGCCATCCCCACATATATGATCACATATGTGTCCTCCATCCTTTACAGACCAAGCCCTGGGGGTTCTGTCTCATGTTATCATATCATATCAATTCATATCATATCTACCCTTGGGCAGCTCACAGGCGGGATCGCCTTTCTTCCCGAACCGCGCCGACGCTTCCCGAACCCTCCGGTGTCGACGCGGTGTCCGCGGTGCTTGTCGTTCAGCCGTGAGGCGCTCCGGCAGTGAAGTTGGACAGGAAGTTCCAAGAAAGATCCAGGGTCTCCTCGGAGACATGACACATGAACTCCGCGGAAGAAGACCACCCAAATTGGTTGGGTGGCCTCTCTATCAAAATGCACACCCACATGCCGTGGTGTGACTCTCTCCCAATTTGGGTTCCATGTCCAAGCCTGGAGTCAAAAGACTGGTCAAAAGACCAGCACTTCCAGTCCACTTCCCAAGCTTCTTGCTTCGAGCATCCAGCTTGTCAAGGGACTGAAAGGCCCCGGGCACAAAGTCTGTCAACAAATTCCCACCTGAGCAGGACGTGCGACTCGTCGCGCGACCTGCGAACCTCGCGTCGAACCGTGTGAGCGATCTGGGCCAAGGTCCGCCGACCGGTACCACAGCGAGCCTGGTCAGGACCGGGAAGGTCCGCCGCATTGCAAGCTCTAGATCACGAACCAAGAAACATCATCTTGAAACATCTTGAATCTTCACAGTGGAAGAGACCAAAGATCCTCCTGACTTGATCTGACAGGTCCTGCTCCAGTTCCCCATGGCTCCCCATCCGCACCCTCTCTTCCAAGTGGCTGACATTCAATGCCCGGAGCTCTGGCAGTCGCAAAGGAAACATCAAGCTGGCGCGGTACGCCGGCCGGAGGCCGAGGGGCGGATCGGGCCACATGTCCCAGGCGTGGCTGTGGTTCTTCTTAGGTCAAGCAAGTGCCAGTGACCCCTGGCAGAAAGAAACCAGACCGAGCCAGACCCCCCAAACAAACCCGACGAACATCGGGATCGATGGCACACCTGAGGAGCAGATTGTCTTGAAGGTGAAGCTCTTCCAAGTGGTCAAGGCCTTCTAAAGCTCCTGGGCAGTGGAGATGCTCGGCCTCTGGAGCGGGTTGCCACGCTGAGGCCACGAACGCATGCATAACTTATCCCATATAACTCATATAACCACCAGTTATAACCACTCAAGTATCGGAGTATCGGTCATGGCCACTGCCGACCACCCCCAACCGGCCAAGACATTCCCGGGTTGACAAGATGCCAGCGTCGAGGCTTTTCAAATCGCTGCCTCATGCGACGTGTGCAAGGCCCGACGCAGATTCGACAGTCACATCCATGACCCTTAGAAAAGACATGCCATGAGACCCCCTCCAAACTGCCTCTCTCATATCTCAGAAGCTGCTGCAATTGGCAAATCACAATGCAAATCACAATGTGGAAGGCCGTTTTTTTAAAACACCTCTCATTTTCCGTTGGGAAACAGAAGATTTACTGGTAAAGCGATTGGCCTTTGGGGCTCCAGTCCCACTCCGTCCAACGTCCGAGTGGCTCCGCGCGTCCAAGCTCCGCAGCGAGGAGGGCAGGGACGTCGGCAGCGAAACCAAGCGAAGATCCGCCAGGCGGAGCGCCTGCAGGTCTGCGGGGCGGGTCGCAACGGGAAAAAAACGCTAGACCCTCCTCACAAAGAGAAATATGATACATAAAAATACATATACAGTAATACATATAAACCGAATTGTCTCTTAAAGAGACATATGGACTTTTGATTTGGGTCTATCCTGTTACCAGTATCAGTGGAGGATGATGATGATTATTACTATTATTACTATGATGATGATTATTATTATTACTATTATTACATATTATTACTATGATGGTGATGATGATGATGATGATGGTCAATAAAGGCCTTGCTAAAAAATGGATGATGATGGTTAGTAGAAGCCGTGGTCAAATGATGATAATTGTTTACTGACTGTTACAGGTAATAGGACAGACCCAACATATAATTTATATATATATATATAAACCGAATGGTGTATTCCTTTATATAATGACCTATTGATTGGAAAAAAATACATATACCAGATCCATCCGCTTGCCACGTTTCTAGGCAGCTTTTGGCACCGTGGTGGTCGCCTGCAGGTTCTTCAGCTCCTCCAACCCCGCTCCCGACAGGTTCATCAAGTGATTGCCGGACAGATCCAGCGCCTCAAATCCGCCCACGAGAGGAACTCCCGGACTCCGGTCCCTCCCGGACGTTTTAGGGGGTCAACAGTGAGGCCCTGGGGTCAAAAGTGCGGAGCCTCAAGACGAGTCTCTGGAGGATTCCGTGGGGCTGAGGCTGCACTGACTCGCCCTCGGTTCTTCCGGGGTTTGCACACTCTGCTTCGAGACCTCCCAAGGAGAAACCGGGTCGAAACAGCCAGGACGCCGTCAAACTCGGCAGCAGCACAAATGCACCTGGAACGCGCCAATGGCGAATTCAGTTCGAGTCGATGTTGAACTGTTGAAAGGATCTAGGAATCAACTACGAGCCTAGTGGTTTGTGCCATGTGCTCCAAAAAAAGGACCGCACACTTGCACCTTGAAGCGAAATTCCCATGTCGGACAGGTGAACAAAGTGGTGAAAAGGTTCACTTCCTAGTGCTGATCACGTGTTTCGACAGTTGCTTCATGTTTCTGTTCGACTACGTCCCGAGCCTTTTTCAGGTCCGGCCTGGGCTCACGTCCCTCAAGTGGTTCTCTGAGAGGTCCAAGTTCTGCAATCTGCTCAAGCCTCACGCTGTCAGCAGGAGGGCACGGCTTGGGGTGTCACTGCTCCTGGAGAAAAAGAGGCCATGGAGGTGCTTGACAAAGCATGGAGGTGCTTGCAAAGGAACAGCAGCCAGCCCAAAAAGAGTTCAGCCAGTACACCGACCTAGCCCTCAGATTGCCAGCCCGAAGGGGCCCCAATAGCCAACTTATGTGAACCATGCTGCAGGCAAAAGGATGCAAAAGAAAAGTTGATGGACTAATTACATCCCTCATCCTCAACAAAGGTCCCCCCAAACACGTCTCGGCTGGCACAGGAGCCTTGGAGCTTTGGCAAAATTCCGACCAGCTGATTCTTGGAGAGGTCTAAGTGGCGCAAAGATCTCAAGTCATTGAAGGCTCTGTCGTCGATGCTCCTGACGGGCACCCCCCCGGCCCCGGCCGCGAGACATGTCCATGCCATGGCAATCCTGCCCAGTTTTGGCTCACATCTGTCCTCAGGACATTGTTCTGCAGAGATAGGTTGCGCAGAGCTGGAAGGTTGTGAAAGGCCTGCGCCAAGTGGCCGAGAAAGAAGAAACACACACATAACAGCTGCAGCTGAATTCTTGTCAGAAGAACGCCGGGCCATTTCAGCTTTGCAAGAGTGTGTATGTGTGTTAACCGAAGAGTTGGCCACTTAACCAGTTAACCATGTGGCTGGCTGCAGGCTGCAGGGTCTGATTTATTCTGAGACTGCTAAATGTTCGGCTGTGAAAAGGGGACTGGAGCAAAGACAAAGAGAAATTCAGATAGGAACAAGGGTACGTATCACATGAGATTGGCAACATACTATAGTTTCCATAAATAACATGTTAATCATTAAATATGTAATCACACCAGTCCTACAGCACCAAGCCCCACCACCAACCATCCATCTTCGGGCCCGCCTCCTTTCCCAGCTCCTGTTTTGGAGCCGAGCGACATGGTCGAAATCGCCACTGGTTCGGCGATCGAACTCAAAACTGCACCTTTGGAGGGCTCGCCACGGCTTCATCAAACCAGTTGGTGCAAAGCTGCTACGACGCGTGACGCGTCGCGATCCCCCCCATCTGAGCCGGCCAGCTCGTGTCCCCCCGCCAGCCCCCTCCCAAAAAAGACAAGAGAACTCTGAGTTCTTGAGATTAACGTGCCCGTGCGGCAGCACTCCGCACGTTTCGGA